CTACAGATGTTAATGTGGGCGCTTTGATTGTCTTTGTCAAGACTAGCTCTAAATCAAGGAGTTAATCAGGAGTAGATGAGATGATTATGGTTGACTTGTCAAGTGCTTTCGCATGGTCCATGTTGAAAACGTTTTTGATATCTTTCACAAGCCAATGAGCAGGGACTAGCATGACCTGTCCTTTCTGAAGCCATGTGGTGAATAAAAAAGATGTCCAGGAGTGCCTTTGGTTGAGGTCAGATATAGGGGTTATTGACTGCAACATATTTATATCCGTTTTCAAACGTGTAGGTTACATTAACGAGCGCCAGTCACCCGGCTCGCATTTTGCTGGTGAGTCCCAAAAGAAAACGCTCGTAGCGTGACAGTGGTAACCGTGTTTTCCTCAGTGCTCGTGTAGCTAGAGGTGTTATTTGGTAAGGGTGCTTTGTGTGATTTGACGACAGAACACATACAATAGACATGGATAATTTCCCTAACAGGACACATGTACAGGACTCAAACAGCCTTAGTACAACTCAAACGTTCTGAGCTGCTAATTAATAAAGACTCAAACATATCTATATATTGATATTTCCCTATGATGTGGTTTTCATTCCCAGCTCTTTGTGACGGTAACTCGCCGGCGAGGCTTCCATACAGAAGCTGAATTGAGCTGTAAAACATGTATGCTTAACATTAATATTTGCAAAGATTTTGTATTGATAACATCACGGACTAACATTTAATTCCGTGATAAAATAAAATAAATATTCGGTAAGATTTCATAACTGATTGAATGGGTGTGTTTGTTACATTAAACAGAAAATACACAGATGAATTGATGATGTGCCTATACATATATACATGTAGATCTAATAAACTAATGTACTGTATATTTGTATAAACAAAGCACCAAACGTTTACTGGAACAGAGGACAGAAAATGTACAGTAGACAAATCTATGGTGGGCTGATTGATGGTGGTGGTATAGCGAGAACGCAGTGACCTGTAGGGGGGGAAAGCCCGCACAGTTCCCAACATCTAAACTTTCAATCGTATACTCATTTTTAACTGCCAGTTGGGGGTGGTGCGCACGTTGTTAAATAACAGGATAACTACATACATTTGTAGCGTACATACACACTTTCCACTTTACAGAAAATAAAAGTATGTTTCGTTTCCCTTGCCGTTAATGACAATACAATGCTTTATTGTCATTTTTGAAAGATTTTAATCAAATACAGTTTCAAAATATATTATTGTCAACCTACATTGTACGTGTTTTCCTGAAATCCCTGGTGTTTGCTGTATCACGGAATTAGATTATCTAAGTTCGTGGCTGTATTAATTATAAGTTTCTGTATTGTCACATGGTGCAAACTATAAATATTCATGGAACAGTCTAGCTGGAGGCGAGAGAGGATATCGGAGCGTCAAAATAACCTTGATCAATTGAACGCAGGGTTACATGAGCGTATCCCGATTGAAACGGTACGGGTGGCGCAGAAATAGTCCACGATAAACGAACGCACTTGGACCGTTCTTTAAGCAGAGCTAAAATGCACAGTTTTGGAGATATAAAAAACAATGTATTAAGAATATTCTTTCATCCGTTCACTGAATTACATAGCGTATCTTAAAAACTACATGTGGGTTGACATTGTATTAGAAAGAAATAACACAAACTAGCAATATTCAGCATTTTAGTTTCGGTCAGGTACGTCTGCACCCCTTTCAACCGTTTCAACCGGATATGCGAATGTAGACTTATGAGATGAGAATGTAGACTTATGAGATGAGAATGAAGACTTATGAGGTGAGAATGTAGACTTATGAGATGAGAATGTAGACTTATGAGGTGAGAGTGTAGACTTATGAGATGAGAATGTAGACTTATGAGATGAGAATGTAGAATTATGAGGTGAGAATGTAGACTTATGAGATGAGAATTTTGACTTATGAGATGAGAATGTAGATAAGAGACTTGCAGTGAGAATGTAAATATTGCATAAACATTTAACGTGTTAAAATATTTACCACAAATTTATTATGACATAATATTTACATTGTATGATCATAACTTGAAATTTTAATAATTGAAAACTCGCTTGGCTTTTGCTTAGTTAAGTATGTTCCTGAAGTCAAGAAACGTTTGTAAAACAGTGGCATTAAATCGTTAGTTTGATTCAGGGATTTAAAGCCATTGTTACTTGCGCTACATTCGTGTATCCTGGTTGAAACGGTACGTGTGGCGCAGAAATATTCCACGATAAACGAACGTTCTATAAGCAGATCTTAAAATGCACAGTTTCGGAGAATAAAACAAACAATGTATCAATATAAGTATACCCTTCTTTCACGCGTCCACTGCATTACATAACGTATCATATAAATTGCATGTGGTTTTACGTAAAGGCTAGATGGTATTAAGGCAAATCATGAAGATTTGTCTTTGTATATCTAACCGATTTTTGACGGGTACGCCACCAAATACAAAGAATATGAACACAAGGACAGGTTGTCAGTCTCCCTCCTCCTCCACTCGCAGCTGGTGCCGGACCTTTTACAGCAAGGGGAAACAGTTGAAACACCCCTAGCGGACATGTTCAGGGATAATTTGGATGATGTTTTGAAAACAGAAAGTGATAACACAGCAGGAAACTTTAATTCCGACGCAGTCTTTATCGGCATTTTCTGGAACTGATACCCAAGTGTCGAGAAAATCAGAACGGTTTGGACCTGCTTTAACGTCCGACGATGTCGCCAAAAACATGGAGAGGATTCCAAAGAAAACGAGATCAAATACTAAATGGTGTGTTTCAATATAGAACGACTGGGTGGCTCACCGAAAAACATTACCAGAAGCATATAATGAACAATATCCAATATGTTGTAATCGTGTGGATACATTTACACATTGGCCTACACATCATCATCATTCTCCTATCAACTCGCAAGTAACGGATCTTTTATACTGGCATTGAAGACTGTGTTACTTGTTTTATGTGCGGTGTTTCGTTAAAGCACTGGAACTATTTTGACGATATCACAACGGAGCACGTGAGATGGTCAAAATAGTGTCTCTTTCAACAGATGATGTTCGTCATTTAAATACAACATTTTGAATTACGTTATCATGTTTTAAGATCATACCAATACGTGCATGTGTCATAATGGAAATAAACACAGACTTGTTTGTTAAAGGACTGCAAAACTATTTGATTGAAAAAACCGAAGAAAAGGCCTTTCGGAGAATTATAAAAAATCTGATGTGTCTCTCTTATGCATACATTGTAAAATCAAAAATAACAGAACTATTCATATGTTTAGGCTGTGAGAATCGTCGAGCTAGTCAGCATGAACATGAATGTCTTATGTATTCCAGTGCTGTTATCATAGACTTACATTTTGACGAAGCATTGACTTTAACAACTCATTTAGAAGTGGAAAAGACTTGGCGTGAGTTTGTCATTCAATCTTGTACACCTTCAGAGGCATTACAACGTCTGATGCAAGACGAACGTTTGAGGGACGAGAACTACGTGAAAACAAGTTATAGCGAAAAAATAAAGAAATACGTTAAGAAGATCGGTAAATTTGAAGGTTGGCCCCCGAGATATAATCAGTGGATTCCTGAGAAGGACATCAAAAACGGCACGAGAACGTAGGATGTCACACTTTGTGGTCATTCACAGCGACAAAAGTAAGGCCTATTTTCCCGAAAACAATGCCATACATTTTCGATCTTATTTCCAATCTCCGTTAAATCTCGAAGGAATATGGAAAGTAGCGCTAGTGGATATAGCCCTACCTCTGAGCATCACAAAGACGAAACAAAATAATTAGTTACACAGCGACGTACATGTATGTAGTGAAGGTTTTGTCGATGGAGAAAAGGAAAATCTTCTCCGTGTGGTGAAAGCGCTAAAAGTGGGAAACTGGTCACAGACATTCGACAACCCATTCTACGTTCCAGTGACTCGCCTATTGAATTTGTAGTTTCCGGTCAAAACGGGATAGAATTGTTAGATTGAAAGAACAGTCTCGTCTATGCAAAAGTAAAAATTGTTAGAGGAGATGGAACTGCAATAAGCGATACTGACGATGTGGGACCCGTAAATCTACGTTTGCCTTATTTGTTTTCACAAGTGGACGTTACTTTGCGAGGAAAACCCGTCTTATCGACCACAAACCAGTATACCTACAAAGCTTAAATCCAAAGTTTACTGAAGTTTGGAAGGGACGCAAAAAACGTCACAGCTGACGACACAGCTGTGGGAACAAGACGACAAGGGTAGCATGGATGCAGATAGTCCAAGAACGGGTTCTAATAATACACTTCTCGAAAGAGCAAAACGCTTTGAAGGTGGGAAAGTGGTGGACAAGGTGGGACCGCTCTTCCACGATTTGTTCAAGATGGACAGGTGTTTGTTAAATCAAATCAACGTCAACGTCAAGATGTACAGATCAAAACCCGATTTTTTTCTAATGTCGGGTAATGTTACAGCTGATTACAAAGTGATTTTTGAAGATATTCGACTGCGCGTGAGTAAAGTCAAAGTCAACCCTGCCGTCATATATGCTCAAAGCAAAGCACTGAATAGAACAAACGCTAAATATCCATTTTCTCAGACTCTCATCAAACAGATGACCATTCTAGCAGGTTCTACCAGTTTTACCTATGACAATATATTTCAAGGCATGAGACCGAATTTAGTCGTAGTTGGATTCGTAAATGCTACCGGCATAACGGGAAGCTACGAGCAAAACCCCTGGTTCTTTCAGTCTTACGACATTTCATCCATTGGACTTTACGTAGATGGGATACATGTTGGTGGTAATCCCCTGAAGCTAAAGTATAGTGAAATTGGAGGACAAGCCGTCATTCCTGTACGAGGAGTATGCTACAATCCACCGGAAAGTGGCTGAGTGATGCCGGGTTGAATCTAGAGAGAGACGATATCGGGCTAGGCTATTCCCTTTACACCTATAACATTCAGAACGAGTCAGTATCTTACCTTGCTCAAGCAAGAAAACATGAGACTGGAGGTAACATTCGGGACTGCATTAACGGAAGCCGTATCCTGTATCATCTACTGTGAGCACCTCGGCTACTTCGAAATCAACGCTGCAAGAGACGTGGTATCACCAAGAACACTCTTGATGTGATAAATTCAGATTCTGAAATGAGAAAAGTAGTTAAGTGGAGTGTATGCTCGAGACCAAATACCTCACAAGTCAAATGGTTTCCCCTGCGGATTCATTGTCAATACGGAGCCGAGCGATCGTCCAGGAAGACATTGGTTGGCGTTTTACATAGAATCTAAAAACACTGTTGAATGTTTCGATAGCTACGGACATCCACCAGAATATTACTCGTTTAAAGCAAATGTATACAACGATAAGCGATTACAAAGTAATATTGTTTGTATTATCTATTGAATAGATGTAGAGGTATATCTATGAACTCTATCGTGAATCAGTTTGGAAAGAACTTTTCAGAAAATGACAATTAATTACGTTTATGTTTTCATATCAAATGCATTTCCATGTCATGTCAATTCTTACCCTAAATTCAGAGTTGTCAGTTGTGCTGCCATTAAAGTGTAAATAAAGAATCTAAATAGCCATGTTTTGTGTATGTGTCGTCATTTTTTATTTGAACGATGGAGTGGTATGCCAAAGAGAGTCTAGTCAAGTTCCAATCACCGTGTAGAATCATGGTATGTGGAGCGAGTGGAAGCAATAAGACATTCTTAAGGATGTACACCTCTGAGAAGTCAAAAAATTCCTGTATTAAACTTTTTTTCTTATATTGATTTTTGGAAAAAAGGAGATAATGGCATAGTAGAAAATGCAAAAAAAACTATATGTCGGTGTGTTCGTTTTTGTGCTATGATCGGTCAAAGATACCAATTTAACACAATATGTGATTTTAGGTGAATTTTCGGGTTTTGACCATTGGCAGAACAAATTCATACAATTTCTTCCAAGTGTGTTATCAGATATGTATGAATGTTTGTAGAATTGATAAAAATATTATTTTCTTTGAAACTATGGAAGTAAAATGTCTTAAACTTATTCATTTTACTCAAAAATGCGATTTTAGTTACCCCTACCCCTTATTTCTTAATGAAAAAATGCACAGTTTCACCATTTTTTGCCGATTAAACGCTTGATATAAAAAAAATCCTGTAATAAACTTTTTTTAGTATTCAATGAACCGAAAGAAAATAAGTTTCTCTTTCTAAAACAGCCACAAAAATGGGGGGGGGGGGCCGGGGGGCTTCTTTTTTTTGTCCCATTATTATTTGTGTTATTTTTCACCTTTTTCGGGGTCAAAAATCAAAAGTGCTTCAGTTACCCTAATATGTAAAAAAAAAATCAATAATATATAACTTTCCACTTTTTTGCATATTATTTTGATCATATTGAACATAATAAAGTTGTACAGCAAAATTGAACCAGCTACAATTAAAAATGGTGACACAATGACAATTTAAGTGATCAATCTAGTGTCAAAAAAGGTGAATTTTGGCCCTTTGTGAAGCGCAAGAAATTCACATAAATACACTTTTTCAAAATGGCCGCCAAATTGGTCATTTTTTTTAAATTTCCTGGGGGGTTTTCATGTTGGAAAAAAAATGAGGAAAATGGTGAAAATATATGATTTTTAAAGAAAATTCTCAGGGTGGGGGGGTTTCTTGAAGCCCAAAAACCCTTCTGGATCCGCCACTGGTGTCAGCCCATGTTCGACGAGTTACGTAACGATCTAAAGGAAATAACATTTCATCAAGGGCTGCCAAACGAAGACCAATTTGAGGAGTGGGGGAAAAATGACGTTCACAAGTTACTGGTGATGGACGATTGTACGACAGAAGGTGTATACAGTCCGCATTTAGTGAAGATGTTTTGTGTAAAATCTCACAATCAAAATGTCACGGTCATGTTTTTAGTACAAAACGTTTTCCAAAAGGGAAGGTCATGCGAACGCTCAGTCTAAACACACAATATTTCATCTTATTTAGAAATTACCGAGATTAATCGGACGTGGAGGCTCTCGGACGACAAATATTTCCGTGACAAAATGCCTATTTTAGAGAGGCATATCAGTTAGCAACATCAAAAAGATATGGATACTTACTGATCGATGTCTCACCTTCAATGTTCCCGATGCAAATATAGGCGGTACGTCATCACCACTACCCCCACTTCGCACAGGAATTTTGCCGGGAGAGGACACGGTATTGTATTACCCTAAAAAATGAAATGTTTGATTGAGTTTTGGTTGATGGCCTCAGACAAGCAAAAGAAAGTAATTTTCCTGAGGTCAGCCTCGGTCGTTTTCCTTACATGTTCAACCGGTTCAACCGTTTCAACCGGATATGCGAGTGTACCCTTGGATATGTAACTATAAATGACCAATAAAATGATTGAATATTGAGTATTGAGTAAACCACGAATTGAATATACTGTAACCGTTAGTTCTAAACGTTTGTTGACGTTCCTTTTTAACCGGCACGGCGATTATATTACCGGATAACAACAATTTCCAATATGGCGTCAAACGAAAACAGCTTCGGGAATCGAAAGAAACACAGGTTTGACCTACCACCCCCGCTTAACACTGACGCGACAAGTTTTAATCAGACAACTTATGGTGATCAAGAGGACAGATATTCATCAAATGTAACTGACACAACAACTCCCGAGTATAAAAACGCACGGGAGTACGCCAGGGCACTTCAGCCATGGCTCTATCAATACAGACTCTGGAACTTTCTCAGTTCGACACCCTCCATGTTTCCTTATCAAATGATGAACTGTATGCATCCTATGAGCCCGTTAACCGGCTCTCAGCCGATCTTGAGGGGGGTACCAACCCCACTGTCGACAGGTATCCCTCAAGCTCAGATGCCCGGGGGAAGAAGCCAGACCCCGCCCACTTTCGGAGGTCGGGCACGGATGACGCCAAATACAAACATCGTACGAGGTTGGTAAACGTTATGCTCGTGAAAAGTCTCCTACAGTAGGTATACTAGGTTAGAGACAGTTTAATTGAGGAAGCAGGTTCGATGCAGTGATAACACGTATTCGTTTCACTACATCCGTCCAACGACGCATGTAAAGTTCTTGCATTTATGAAAGAGTGCACGTGGTGCCCCATTCATGGTAGTGGAACCCTTGTTAGAAAGTTAATGCTAATATTGCTTCATGTTCAGGGTCTTTGCAGGTTATATAATTATTTGCTAATAAAAGTTGCACATGTCAATCATCCCTTGTTTAAGATTTTGTGTATAACACACTTCTAAACTGATTTTTATCTACATATGTCTATCAAATAATATATAAATGTTAACTATTATGACATCACAATATTATATTTTTTTCTAGCATTTTAAAGCTATTGGAAAATCCTCATTTATGATAAGAAATTTTCCTAAAACGGAGGCTTGTACATGTGAACTTAATTAACAATTTATGATATATATATATATATATGTAATCAATCTATCCTTAGGTACAGAGTATATTATCCCGTCTTTGTGGAAAAGAGTCCTGGCAGAGCTGGTTGACTTTGCAGTGTTATTCTACATGAAGATAATTGTCACTGTTTTAATACTGAGGCAGATGGGTTACCTGTAAGTATACTGTATGACAGGTGATACTATTGATACAGATGGGTTACCTGTAAGTATACTGTATGACAGGTGATAATATTGATATAGATGAGTTACCTGTAAGTATGCTGGTTGACAGGTGATACTATTGATACAGATGGGTTACCTGTAAGTATACTGTATGACAGGTGATAATATTGATATAGATGAGTTACCTGTAAGTATACTCTATGACAGGTGATAATATTGATACAGATGGGTTACCTGTAAGTATACTGTACGACAGGTAATACTATTGATACAGATGGGCTACCTGTAAGTATACTGTATGACAGGAGATACTATTGATACAGAAGGGTTACCTGTAAGTATGCTGGTTGACAGGTGATACTATTGAGATAGATGAGTTACCTGTAAGCATACTGTATGACAGGTGGTACTATTGATATAGATGGGTTACCTGTAAGTATACTGTATGACAGGTGATACTATTGATATAGATGAGTTACCTGTAAGTATACTGTATGACAGGTGATACTATTGATACAGATGGGCTACCTGTTAGTATACTGTATGACAGGTTATAATATTGATACAGATGGGTTACCTGTAAGTATACTGTACGACAGGTGATTCTATTGATACAGATGGGTTACCTGTAAGTATACTGTACGACAGGTAATACTATTGATACAGATGGGCTACCTGTAAGTATACTGTATGACAGGTGATAATAGTGATACAGATGGGCTACTTGTAAGGATACAGATGGGTTACCTGTAAGTATACTGTATGCCAGGTGATACTATTGATACAGATGGGCTACCTGTAAGTATACTGTACGACAGGTGATTCTATTGATACAGATGGGTTACCTGTAAGTATACTGTATGACAGGTGATAATATTCATACAGTATACTTACAGGTATCCCATTGGTATCAATAGTATCACCTGACATACAGTATACTTACAGGGAACCAATCTGTATCAATAGTATCACCTGCCATACAGTATACTTACAGGCAACCCATCTGTATCAATAGAATCGCCTGTCGTACAGTATACTTACAGGTATCCCATTGGTATCAATAGTATCACCTGACATACAGTATACTTACAGGTAGCCCATCAGTATCAATAGTATCACCTGTCATACATGATACTTACAGGTAACCCATCTCTATCAATAGTATCACCCGTCATACAGAATACTTACAGGTAACCCATCTGTATCAATATTATAACCTGTCATACAGTATACTAACAGGTAACCCATCTGTATAAATAGAATCACCTGTCGTACAGTATACTTACAGGTAGCCCATCTTTATCAATAGTATCACCTGTCCTACAGTATACTTACAGGTAGTCCATCTGTATCAATATTATCCCCTGTCATACAGTATCCTTACAGGTAACCCATCTGCCTCAGTATTAAAACAGTGACAATTATCTTCATGTAGAATAACACTGCAAAGTCAGTATCAATATTATCACCTGTAATACAGTATACTAACAGGTAGCCCATCTGTATCAATAGAATCACCTGTAAGTATACTGTACGACAGGTGATTCTATTTATACAGATGGGTTACCTGTTAGTATACTGTATTACAGGTGATAATATTGATACAGCTGGGTTACCTGTAAGTATACTATATGACAGGTGATAATATTGATACAGATGGGTTACCTGTAAGTATACTATATGACAGGTGATAATATTGATACAGATTGGTTACCTGTAAGTATACTGTATGACGGGTGATACTATTGATACAGATGGGTTACCTGTAAGTATACTGTATGACAGGTGATAATATTTATACAGATTGGTTACCTGTAAGTATTCTGTATGACGGGTGATACTATTGATAGAGATGGGTTACCTGTAAGTATACTGTATGACAGGTGATACTATTGATAATGATACGCTACCTGTAACGTCATTGTATGGTATATACATCAAGGTGATAAGACTAGAAAAAATATGTCAAATAAGAAATTTCTGTAAAATATAAGAACATGTCAATAAAAAAAAATCCTGTATATTTGTGATAAAATATTGCAAATGCAATTACATCAGAGCAAATATTTATACATAAACAAGGGTACCACGAAAGCCAAACATAATACGTCCGTCATACACTGAATGAGCAGTTGTCTGTATGGTTGCACATAAAGGACCTTAACTCCATCAATTACGGTTGGACAATGGTGGTTATCAAACTTGTGCGAGCTATCATGGCAATGAACCTTCTTATGAAGTTCGAAAGTCCATCCATTGAAAATTACTTGAGATATATATTGATGAAAGTTTTGTTCTGGAATAGGTACGGACAGGTCAGTTCTGGAATAGGTACGGACAGGTCAGTTCTGGAATAGGTACGGACAGGTCAGTTCTGGAATAGGTACGGACAGGTCAGTTCTGGAATAGGTACGGACAGGTCAGTTCTGGAATAGGTACGGACAGGTCAGTTCTGGAATAGGTACGGACAGGTCAGTTCTGGAATAGGTACGGACAGGTCAGTTCTGGAATAGGTACGGACAGGTCAGTTCTGGAATAGGTACGGACAGGTCAGTTCTGGAATAGGTACGGACAGGTCAGTTCTGGAATAGGTACGGACAGGTCAGTTCTGGAATAGGTACGGACAGGTCAGTTCTGGAATAGGTACGGACAGGTCAGTTCTGGAATAGGTACGGACAGGTCAGTTCTGGAATAGGTACGGACAGGTCAGTTCTGGAATAGGTACGGACAGGTCAGTTCTGGAAATAAAGTTTGTATTAAACATGGAATTAATCTACAGTAATGTGAATGTAAGACCATTTACGGTTTATACAATTACACAGTTCTGTGCGTACATAAGTCTGTCACATATCTTGTGACTTGTGACACTGTGCAGGTGCTGATATTGTTTTAAAGGGTTACTTTGTGTTGTAGACGCGACGACAATAACATATTAGACGTACACCTAGACCTCATGCCTGTGCTGGATTTTGCAAAAGTAGACCTGGATGAAGCCCTGAATTTCACATCTGAAATAATTGCACTGGAAATTGTTAATCGTGTTTTCATAACACTTTTCGAGGTAGGTACTCTCTCTGGCTGTTTTACTGTTCTTATGTAACTGAGTTTAAATCAAGCACAGTCTGACTGGGATTCGAACCTAGATACTAGTACGTATACACTCCAAACTCTAGATGGCCATGGTCAATCTACCAAATAAGCTACCTGGCAACCAGCAATAGACCTAGTCCAGTTCTGCTTCAACTGTATCCAACTTGATAACGGTGCTTTGCAGTTTGGATAAATAGAATGAAAGCAAACGCTTCAATACTTGAGAATGTTGTTCTACTACAACACTTCAAAGGAATCTTCAGATATTTTGTTTGTTGAAGGAACTTTAAAAATTCTAAAAAGGTGTAAAGCATTTACAGGGTGCTTTAATTTGCAAATTATAATACATCTGCAAAATTTGTGAAATGAAATGCTTTGCGAGAAATCAGCAGCTATACATTGAAACAGCAAACGGAGGTTTTATAGTCAAACATTTGTCTAATTTTGTTTTAAAGACCAGTGCATGGTGATTCAGTTCCTGAAGATGTCTCTGCTACTGCTCTTATATTTATCCCTGGTTTAACTTTTATATGTTAAAAACAAATGGCTATATTGTAAATATCCTTGCCCCACATTATCTTTCATAGCCTGGGACCAAGGGGCAACATCTGATTTTGGGTGGTCTGGTGGTGCAGGGGATAGTACACTAGATTCCCCGATCATTCATGCATAGGTATGGGGTATCCTGCCCAACCACGTGGGTTTTCTCCAGGTACTCGGATTTCCTCCCACATTACGACACACACACCCCTGTGCACTCACCATCAGGCCAACAAGAGTGATTATAAGTTATAATTGTTGTAAGATAAATAAAATTTACATATAACATCTTATTTTACACATTTTAATGTCATTTTTTTTTTCATATACTGTATGTTTCTCTGTCTAGACGCTGTGTATACGACAAGGATATGGCTCAGTAGGTGGCGCCACTCCAGGGAAAAGGATTCTGGGACTGAAGGTGGTGTCCTGTGAGGAAGTAATTGTACCGGCTAACTTTAGGAACGGCCGGGTGATCGTCATTCCAGCGCAAAATGTGGGCATGGTCAGGTAGGTCATATCTCCTAAAACTTTTAGTCCTGTACAAGACTGGGATGTAGAGCTCTGAGCCTTATACAAAGGACTGCTGGTTAAGAAAAAAAATCTTCCATCAATAGAAATATCTATATATCTGTTCCTGTATTCGACTGATTAGGTGAAATAAATATATATTCCTCAAAAAGGTTACATTCTATATATTGTGTTCAAACTTTTTGGTAGTATGAGATGTTATACTGTATAACATGAAATGTTTGTTGTGTATAAACATTCGTGGTTTTCGTGGTAACTATTGTATAAACATTCCTGGTTTTCGTGGTTACTATTGTATAAACATTCCTGGTTTTCGTGGTTAATATTGTATAAACATTCCTGGTTTTTGTAGAAACTATTGTATAAACATTCGTGGTTTTCGTGGTAACTATTGTATAAACATTCCTGGTTTTCGTGGTTACTATTGTATAAACATTCCTGGTTTTTGTGGTTACTATTGAACCCCGAAAATAAATGCAATATTTGAATGATTAACGTGTCTACCATATGTTAATATACTAAGGATATCACCGAAAGCTTGTACCACGAAAGGATTTAAATAACTTCAAACCACAAAGGAAAGTCCCCACAAACATTTTGTGTTATACAGTATTTGAAAACGGTACTCTGATCTAATATAGCTAAAGACAATATAGCTAAGTGCTCATCTGCGTTTGTATTTATCTTTTGAATTTGATTTCACTGATGCTATTTATTGAAATTTTAGAACTTCTTTGATACTAGAAAATAATTATAATGTTCTCCATCTTTCCGAAAGGTCAAATGATGCCAAAAACAAGTGCAAACTCCGAAAAGATATATTCATATAGTTCCTTTTTTCTTTTCATTTCAGTGCCTTGGTCCGATCAACTATCAAAAATTTTACAATGGCCTTTTTATTTCCGGCCTGTTTCACCGTTTTCTTTTTCCGACATAGTAGAGCAGCTTACGATGTGATTGCAAAGACAATAGTAGTTCAAGCTCCAGCTCCACATATACATCAACATCATCAGCCTCCACAGTGACCGGCTTCAAATATCACGTCAGCCTCCACAGTGACCGGCTTCAAATATCACGTCAGCCTCCACAGTGACCGGCTTCAAATATCACGTCAGCCTCCACAGTGACCGGCTTCAAATATCACGTCAGCCTCCACAGTGACCGGCTTCAAATATCACGTCAGCCTCCACAGTGACCGGCTTCAAATATCACGTCAGCCTCCACAGTGACCGGCTTCAAATATCACGTCAGCCTCCACAGTGACCGGCTTCAAATATCACGTCAGCCTCCACAGTGACCGGCTTCAAATATCACGTCAGCCTCCACAGTGACCGGCTTCAAATATCACGTCAGCCTCCACAGTGACCGGCTTCAAATATCACGTCAGCCTCCACAGTGACCGGCTTCAAATATCACGTCAGCCTCCACAGTGACCGGCTTCAAATATCACGTCAGCCTCCACAGTGACCGGCTTCAAATATCACGTCAGCCTCCACAGTGAGTGACTTCAAATATTGCATCAGCCTCCACAGTAACCGGCTTCAAATATCACATCAGCCTCCACAGTGACCGGCTTCAAACATCACATCAGCCTCCACAGTAACCGGCTTCAAATATCACATCAGCCTCCACAGTGACCAGCATCAAAGCTTACATCAGACTCCACAGTGGCCAGCATCAAAGCTTACATCAGACTCCACAGTGACCGGCTTCAAATATCACATCAATCAACATCATCAGCCTCAACAGTGACCAGCATCAAATATCATGTCAGCCTCTACAGTGACCAGAATCAAGTCTTACATCAGCTTCTACAGTAACCAGCATCAAAGCCTACATCAGTCTCCACAGTGACCGGCATCAAAGCTTACATCAGACTCCACAGTGACCGGCATCAAAGCTTACATCAGACTCCACAGTGACCAGCATCAAAGCTTACATCAGACTCCACAGTGACCGGCATCAAAGCTTACATCGGACTCCACAGTGACCGGCATCAAAGCTTACATCAGACTCCACAGTGACCGGCATCAAAGCTTACATCAGACTCCACAGTGACCAGCTTCAAATATCACATCAGTCTCCACAGTGACCGGCATCAAAGCTTACATCAGTCTCCACAGTGACCAGCTTCAAACATCACATCAGTCTCCACAGTGACTGGCTTCAAATATCACATCAGCCTCTACAGTAACCGGCTTCAAATATCACATCAGCCTCCACAGTGACCAGCTTCAAATATCACATCAGTCTCCACAGTGACCGGCTTCAAATATCACATCAGCCTCCAAAGTGACCGGCTTCAAATATCACATCAGCCACTACAGTGACGAGCTCCAAATCTTACATCAGCATCCAGTGACCAGCTTCAAACATCACATCAGCCTCTACAGTGACTGGCTTCAAATCTTACCTCAGCCTCTACAGTAACCAGCTTCAAATATCACGTCAGCCTCCTCAGTGAGTGGCTTTAAATCTTACATCAGCCTCTACAGTGACAAGCTTCAAATATCACATCAGCCTCTACAGTAACCGGCTTCAAATATCACATCAGCCTCTGCAGTGACTGGCTTCAAATCGTACATCAGCCTCTACAGTAACCGGCTTCAAATATCACATCAGCCTCCGCAGTAACCGGCATCAAATATCACACCAGCCTCTACAGTAACAGACATCAAATATCACATCAGCCTCTATGGTAACAGGCTTCAAATCTTACGTCAGCTCCCCAGCAACCGACATCAAATGTAACAGCCTTCACATCAATTGGCATCAAACTTTACACCAGCTTCTGGTGGTAGATAGCAATAATTACATCTGCAACTACTGTTAACAAGCCTAAGGTAATACACAACTCAGGAATCATATTCACACTTGTCATGGTGTCCATAACTAGTCTTCTCCAGGAACTTCTGGATATATATACATCAATATACATCAATATACATCAATATACATCAATATACATCAGAACTTAGATCGTAATCCTTGTTTTCCAAGAACGTCTGGATTTCTGGACAGCATAATTTCAGATCATCATCTGTGTTTTCTAGGAAATTGTGGATGTGCAGACAGTAGTCTAACTGTAGATCACATCATCAGCTTTCTGTAGGAGACAGTCCGCCAACGGTTGACAGATTCTGGCCTGGATAGCTCCTGAGGCATGAATATACAAGATTGAATGTGTAATTGAAATGTTATTTGATGGTGTGCTCTAATATTTTCAAAACTTGAGCAATATTTATTATTTATATCAGTCAGGTTTGGAGTAGCATGAAACAGATTGTTCGTCCTCGATATAATCATCTTAACCGGATAAACAGGATAGAAAGAAGATACTGTAAAGCAGGATATTTCAGTGGGCATGATATTTTCGCTATTTCGCTGTTCAATAACTTGATCGCGAATTTATGATCAGCAGAATAATATGACAATTAAGTGTAAAAATGAGCTGCGATAATATTTTTCGTAAACGTAATGTCGTCATGAAATAGCTCACATGTGGTTGTCACAATTCATATGCATAAAGAGTAATGATGTTTGAAAATAGGTTATATCACACTTCTAATAGCCTTGTCAATGATTTCGTTAACAAAATACACTTACTTAGTGTTGCTCAATATGCTGTAATAAAACATATTCATTTGACTATTACACTTTATATACTGAGTGTCCGTCTGTGTGCTTATAAGACACCACAAAATGTAGGTCTTTTACATGACTAGATCGCAAAACTATAATCCAATCCTAAATCTTCTAATTTCTGGTCAAAATCGTGAAAACTTAATCCCTCGTAAATACCCCATCTTACGGTAGGTACAATTTCTGGTATTTTAGATTGCATCTATTCTCAATACAGCTCCGGGATTTTCACAGTAAATCAGAATGGAATCATTTAATAACCCGTCGTTTACTTGTATTTATATAGAAACATTTATTTAATACCATTTTCTTTATCTATTCAGTTCAAAAATTGTATATGATTCTTTCACTTTGGTAACACATTGTTTTGCTAATTTATTATATAACATATAGGTTTTACCAAAGGAATGAACAAAGAAAACAAATTATTTGTCACTGGAACTATTTCCCCCCATTCCATTATTTTGTGTACCACTCATGTTTATAGTCTTTGTGCACTTCTTGACATTGAATCTATCATTTTGACGGAATGTTTGTCACTGGGTCTTTTGTTTTGACGGAATGTTTGTCACTGGGACTTTTGTTTTGACGGAATGTTTGTCACTGGGTCTTTTGTTTTGATGGAATGTTTGTCCTGGGTCTGGCGTATTGACGGAATGTTTGTCCTGGGTCTGGCGTATTGACGGAATTTTTGTCCTGGGTTTGGCGTATTGACGGAATGTTTGTCGATGGATCTTGCATTTTGAGGAATGCTCATCCCTACATCAATCAAACAGCTAATTTAAGATACAATTTGGATTGCTAAAATTAAGTGACCTTAACCGTAATTTAAATTTTATCGATTTTTATTCAATTCAGAATTTATCATAAACCCAAGTTTTTTTGACATACCGGTAATTACTTAGTGACATAATTATAACGTTTCAACAGATATCCTGGACTTTCGTACACAACCTGTAAATAACTATACAGATTCCTTACTGTGATTGCTATTAAACAACAGTTGCTTTGGTTTCCCAGGCAAAATTTTACAAAATTACCAGGACCCGGAGGTCGTTTACTACCTTGGTGTGGTCTGTCTAGAATCACCTGGAGACTTGAATGGTGAAACTATATATAGCTAGTCAGCTGTCATTCATATAGGTACCCAATGAAGAAAATGAAAGTTGTCAGAGGAACCTGAAGTTCTTGTAATATTGTGTTTATTTCCACTGCAAGTTCCTCTATAAGCATTAGCAGAAAAAATTGTTCATAGATTATGAATGCAATTTGATTATCATTATTTTGAAGTTTCTCCTCCCGCCATAAACAACATCTGACAATGCAACAATTGTAAGCCAATATTTCGGTGGTGTTAGACTGTTACAGGAACACTTCAATATCAAAATATAAGGGAATATTTATATGAAGGTCAATAACAACTAAAAATTTACATTGTACATATAAGGATTGAACAATTGTTGTTCATATAGTTCATGTCGGTATGAATGCAAATCGGTGACATACATGTGTTACACTACGGGCTTCATGGAATATGTATATAACAGATTTACGTTCATACTAGCATGAAATTGAAAAAAATGCTGTTCAATCGATTCCTGATATGAAACCAAGGAAACTGTGATTGACTGAATTACTTAGCTGTTTGCGTTACCTCATGGAAAGAAGAGAGCTCCATGCAAACGAGGTAAAGTATTCCATATTGTAGATGCAATATTTGCTGAAGACCTGCACAATTTGTAATTTGATAGTTATCAGTTTACAAATTGACAGAATGTACTTTTATTGTTTCACCTGTTGTTAACATTATCATTTTTATCGGTGTCTTTCTATTTTATTTTTAATGTATGAAGTTGATAGTTTGTGTAAATGTTCATATATATATATATATATTGTATATTTAGAAAATGCTATTTGTTTATAGTAACAATAAATATACTATGTTAACAGGTGTAATGTCAAAAATGTTTCATTCTTTGAAATAAAATCATTCTTGTTTTACTTGTTGTAATATAGACTTTTTAACTTATCGGCCAGGATCTTTTTGCAAACATTGGTACCACAATACCTACAGTAGTACTTTATACATGTACCACAATACCTAGTCGTACTTTATACATGTACCACAATACCTAGTAGTACTTTGTATATGTACCACAAGACCTAGTAGTACTTTGTATATGTACCATACCTAGTAGTACTTTGTACCTGTACCACAATACCTAGTAGTCCTTTGTACATGTACCACAATACCTAGTCGTACTTTATACATGTACCCCAATACCTAGTAGTACTTTGTACCTGTACCACAATACCTAGTAGTACGTTGTACATGTACCACAATACCTAGTCGCACTTTATACATGTACCACAATCCCTAGTAGTACTTTGTATATGTTCCTTAATACCTAGTAGTACTTTGTACCTGTACCACAATACCTAGTAGTCCTTTGTACATGTACCACAATACCCAGTAGTACTTTGTATATGTACAACAATACATAGTAGTACTTTGTATATGTACCACACTACCTAGTAGTACTTTGTACATGTACCATTATACCTAGTAGTACTTTGTATATGTACCACAATACCTAGTAGTACTTTGTACATGTACCACAATACCTAGTAGTACTTTGTATATGTACAACAATACCTAGTAGTACTTTGTATATGTACCACACTATCTAGTAGTACTTTGTATATGTACCATACCTAGTCATACTTTATACATGTACCACAATACCTAATAGTACTTTGTATATGTACCACAATACCTAGTAGTACTTTGTATATGCCATATATGCAAAAACAAATTGGGGTACTTTTAAACTTGTAAAATTATTTAGAACTTAAGGTACATGGTATATATCACTGCATCAGTTATAATCACAAAGAAGAGTTCCACTCAGAGATTATTTTGACTCAGAGTAGTCTCCTTTCAGTATATGTAGAAGATGAAGCAACTAAATGGAGATTTCCTGGCTTTGAGTAGCTTCCATTGTCAAGTCATGTGTCTTTCATTTTTACTTAAATTTTTGGCTGGTACTTTCCTGTATCTGCCCTCTCAGAAGGTCAAAACATTTAGATGTGTTTAAACATGTAAAGGGCCATAACTCTTTAAATAATCAGGGGATCAATATACATATGAAGATTGATAAATGTACTTAATTCAAGGAAATTTGATGGAAACGAATAAACTTGTTATAGGCTTCAATTACAGATATCATTTTTATTTAGTAAATTGTCGGATCAATGTCATGACACATATGCATGCCCTGGAAAAATGTCAAAAGAATTTAACAGAAATCAGTTTGAAACTGAGGGAGATTTTAGGACAAAATATAAAAAGATGGTCAGACAACTGAAATAAATGTTCCAAAATACCCGACACACAAAAATTTAGGCATGCTGCTTGATGCTGAGGTGAAGATCTGGCAGCAATGATCTACGTATAAGGACCTGAGTATTTATTCACAATAAGTATGAAGACTTTTTCAGTTGTGTGGATGGTTAAAAATCTTATATTTAAACTGACAAAATCACTTTCCTTACTGACTGTTCATATGAACACGTAATACATTAATTCTTGGGTCCATGTGATACAAAAGTTTTGACTGGATGGATCAGCTGATCAGCTAATTCCCTCTTAACGTTTATTTGTAACTTGATCAAATATGCTGCCCGAGTATCACAGAGGTACCTTTGCATTGTCAGTATTTTGGATATTATCTGATGTAGAACACCCTACTAGAAGTTCTGTAGCCTTGCTCAAGTCTGAACCAATTCAAGTACATGTACTTGTCTTAACCGTCATGTAAAGTGTAAATATCCTTTTAGTGCAATTTTGGAACATACTCGAAGCATTTCATCGTCACAAATGAACACAAAACATGAAATGGTTTGCCAATATTTATTAAACAATATTTAAACCAACATCAGTCAGCAATCGTGTGACCTTCATTTCCAACATTTTAGTCCACATAGTCTAACAGCTGTTGAAGCTAACAGCACTATATAACACCGATATATCACATGGTTAAACAAAACATATTCTACACTTCATTCATACTTTTGTGACAGTGACGGCACATCTAAAGCTTGATATACTACCAGCAACTTTTATCGAAACAACAGTTTTGCAATATTTTGTAAAATCTATATGGAATGGAAATTCTAATACACGTGTTTGCCCTAATAAGGGCACTCCAACCTTCTGCTATCTTTTACGATTATTACCTTTATTTTATTTTCAAGATTAATTTAACATTATTATTTATACTGACACAAAAATACATGTGTGTCAACATTTAAATTTCAAAGTCCGAATCCAGATAAATGTTTATACTGGTGATACAAAATTTCAGTAAATATTTCAGTCTGTGCAGTAACTTGATCATTGATTCCTGAAACATCAATTTAACTTGGCTACATGTATGTTTATACCATCCAACAGTTACTGATGTGAAACGGTGTCCAACATCCAGCGACAACCACCATTTAACGAGACTATAAGAGGTTTATTTGATCATAAACATTTATGCAATTATATTAACTTGTGAACACTTAAATCAACTTGATTATTCAAGAAACATCAGCATTATTCTCTGCATCTTTTGTGCAGTAATATCTGCAAAAAACCACTTTCATTTAATTTTGCCACGACTTATTATTACTGGTAAGAATATATTTCAGATGTACATAATGAAGAAGTGAAGGGAAATATCACAAAACCAAACTCTATTCCAACAAGTATTTGGCATGGTGGCAAAATATCACAACTTTCTGGAAATCATAAAAGTTAATTAATTCATCATTAGGTAGAAAACAGGAATACCAGCTAAAAAAATAATATTCAAAATAAGGCAGAAACAAGTTGAATACATGTTTACAAACAACATATCTTAGTGAATATTAACCAGTCAATGTGTACTTTTTGTTAGGAAATCATGAATATTTATCATATACATATACTTGGCTGTGATGTATGGGTCAGTTCACATACTGTACAAGCACTTATCTTAGCGGGCTCAAATTTCAGCATTTTAATTAATTTTGACAGATTAGCATGTTGATGAAATATTGGTGCACTCACAAAATAAGTTACAAGAAACTATAGAAAGAAACTTCAATTAGCACAGAGTCAAAAGCATGAAAAGCACTTAATTAGAATACGGCCAAAATATGTACATTTACATTACGTATGCAATGACACAAGCTAAACATAGGCTATGTATATTTATTCCTGACATGTGCTTTATCTGCCAAGCACATGCTGAAACTATTGACAGCGTGTATTACATGAAAAAAGAGGGTAAAATGGCCATTTCTTTATCTCCTACCAAGATCAACCATCTCGACCCCTGAGATCATGGAAGTCTGGGGCTGTTATTGGGAAGGAGTAATAGTGGTCACATCACATGTAACATTTCCTTTAGAATTCTTTCATAATTTGGATTTTTCTATAAAAAACTGTTGTTCAGAAAATTTTAAAAATTGAACAAGACATTTTTGTAATGAAATGACATGCCCAAAATTCCATCATATTGAAATGATCATATGATGACGGCTGCAATTCAGTGTCCATTTTACACTGATGAAGGCTTAATTAATAATTTAAAAACTTTAATGACTAGAAGAAAAATAATGCATTTTATGGCCTGCATACAATGTACAAGTTGTATGTACTAATGAAACTCATTTGCATTCTAAACAAAAATTTGAAATTAAAATCTTGTGTTTTAACTATACCTGGTACTGTAGTAATTTGAGTTCGACTACTTCCCCAAATATTAGACTTTCATATTATATAATTATAATCTAAAGGAAAATATTCATTTCAATAAATGAGACATGAAATCATTATACTTGGATCGAGTCCGAAACGTTTTCATTTTAGTCAGCATTCTGCTAAATTTTATAAGATGCTTCATAAATATCATACAAAATGGAAACAATTTTAAGATCATCTTTATGAAAATATCAATAATCTATGCAAATATCGCAGAAAAAAGAATTTTTGAATTTGAATTTTGCCATTTTGGTGCCATATCAGTTGTCTCCAGTGAGATGTCATAAGCTTAACCCTTTCACCCCTATGTAACTTTAATAGACATTACCATGCATTGATATGGACGAGTCCATTACGGTCTACGGTGGTGACAGGGTTAAAGCCCTATGACATAATTTCTGTATCATTTTATGACATCACAATGGCCATATCATATTAGTTCATACCAAAAATAATTCATTAGTGTTTTCACTGAAGAACATGGCAATCATGAGGCAAATAGTTTTGAATAATTAGTTATTTGTATTATCAAACATTATTATTATTTAAATTATATGTATCAGAACCTTGCTAATCCATTAAACCAGGCTTACTATCATTTAATTAAAACAAATGAATGAACTTTTAGGCGACAAATCCTGCTTCAGTAATGTGGAAAACTGGTTATTCTAAAAACATGAAACTGTTTTCACTGTGAAAGTAGAAGTTATAGTCTGGATCGACGAAGGTGTAGTGTAAATGTTGGAATAGATGAATGGAGTCTGATGGGGCTACATTGTACCTCTAGCTGGTCACTAATACAGGGAACATCAATCAGACAACATCACGACGACATACATCACATATACCAACAGTAACCATGGCGATACATATTAGGTCAATCTATAGCTACATACTGTTATGTTGCTAGACGCTTTGCATTTAAAGTGAAAATAGCTAACCCATACTGGATACTATTTTTGTATGAGTTGATAATCTATTTGTTCATTCTAAGCACTTTTAAGCATGAAAAATTAAGTCTTGTGAACACAATTTTAAGAACCATTTTCAGAAATCACAAATTTCTTTGCCATCACATAGAAATTAATTTTTGACATTCTACATTATTACATCAAAATTGACTCAAGATTATCTTAACATTCCAATATGGCCTTACTCATCTAATTTCATTAACCAATGTAGCAGGGATACAACAGGCTAACACAATGGTCAACACTTCATTCCTAACGAGACGTTTGGTATAACAAGGAACTGGATGTGTAGGCTGCACTATAGCTTACATGGAGAATGATGGCTGAAAGCAATTAAATCATGATGAAGGAATAAAATTTATTATATATATATATTGTCTGTAATATGTTGTTTTTTATTAAATTTAAATAATTTCTTTCAAAATGATCTTTCAGAAGCTATCAGATATATCACAGCAACTTCATCAAATATGCAAGGATTTGACGGAGCAACAGAGTTGAGCCACAGACATTGATGGAAAAAGTTTATTCGTAAACCCTTAAACAGAACTAACATAGACTTTGTTATTTTAAATATAAGGCCCAAAAGAAAGTTTGTTTCCTTTTAAAAGTGTTGGAGAGTAAACAGTTTTTATGCCATTTTAACAAAGATCGAATATAGAAAGGATACACATTTATACAAATATTGTGTACAACTTATACTTTGGGTAATTAAAGGTAAAATACAGTACAAGGTCTATAACACATTTTGGTCATTCTGTAGCTGTGAAATGTTAACATCCTTTTCTAGCCTCTCCCCTGTAAGGTGTGTACTCACTCTTCTGTTACATAATATACCTGGTGTGTCATCAAGTTGGAAAGTCTTAAATTGGCCCAGTACAAAATACTACATATCTATTTTCTTACAATGTTAGAGGAGACTGTTTTCTACCTATCTCAGGTAAAGGGTCGGGCTTAAAAATTTGGAAATTTTATCAACAATGTACCAGGTATCCGATAATAAGAAATTAAAATGTACCAGGTAAGATCCTTTATTTTTAAATAGCTACATGTAGGTTTCTTGAGCAGGGAACATTTTAGCATGCTTTTTATCCTTACTTATATTCTTTTTATGTCTTAAGTATGAACAAACTACAGAAAACATGTTTTAAAATGTATGTAATTTGGTGAAATAGGTTATTTTCCATTGAGAAAGCCTCAAAGGAGCGATTTAGCATACACTGTAGTTACAATGTAGGTACACTAGTTACAATGTAGGTACACTGTAGTTACAATGTAGGTACACTGTAGTTACACTGTAGTTACAATGTAGGTACACTGTAGTTACAATGTAGGTAAAAAGGCCTACATTGTGTAGGATATAAATAATCACTAGCAGGATATTCACTCAAAGACAGGTTTCATTGGTTAAGCGGTTATCACTTATTCAAATGTGTAGACTTGTATATTAATTTATAACAAATCTATATCGATATCTTACATTTCATGTAAGGTAGTGACGTGTAGAATTCTAATCATATTCAAATAAAGGAAACAATTTAAAACTGTTTCACATGAATGGGTATAAATACTTGGACATTTAAAACAATACAAGGGTCTTGAACATCAATTCACTATTAATTTAAGGAACAACAATGATTAAATATAAAAACATGTTCCAATGTTACTGTCAGAGGGCTAACAGTCACAATACATTTCCCTATGTAAAGCCTATATAAGCACATATTTTTATTCTAGAATAGCACATAACATACATTCTCTATTTATATCATAATATATTTAGAAAGAAACATAGATATCAATGTGCATTCTCTGTACAGAAAGTGTTTACATGTATACATTCATCATATATAAAGTATGCATCCATTGTACATACAGTGTACTTCAGCAGACATACACTACACATTCAGCATACATAAAGTACATATTCAGTGTACATAAAGTATACTTCAGCATACATACAGTACACATTCAGTGTAACCAGAGTATACAATCAGTGTGCATAAAGTATACTTCAGCATACATACAGTACACAATCAGTGTAACCAGAGTATACAATCAGTGTGCATAAACAGTATATTTCAGCATATAAACATGTATACGGTATACACATTCAGTATAATTGAAGTGTACATTCTCAGTGTAATTAAAGTATACATTCAGGGTTATTTTAGTGTATTCAGTGTACATAAAGTATACTTTTAGCATGCATAAGTTTATACATTCAATGTTCATGAAGTACACATTCATTGTCCATAAAGTATACATTCAGTGTAAATGCAGTGTATATAAAGCATACATACAGTGTTCAATTATCTAAATTCGTGTTGGCAACTACTTAACAAACAGTAACAGATGTGGAATGATTATTAATATAATATACATCTCAATACAATGTCCACACACACACACTTATATATAGATACATGTGTGTACAGTCGGTACACATCAACTATTTACACACATCTAGGACATGGCTACAGGTACACACATAAAGTGTACAATCAGTTCACATTAAGTATTTACACAGACATATATCTAGGACGTCTCCATATTTACACCATAAATTGTATTATTAGTACATGTAAATTACAGTAGAGACAATTTGTTTCCTTTCCAACCCACATACATCCAGCCATCATGTTGCTTTACTGATTTGGGAATCATATTGCAATAATTAAAATGCTTCCAGTACAGTATACATCAGTTCCCCTGAGATCCATCATATCTCAGATTCTCTATACCTATCGTGGAAATTTCCAGTCTCAATGATTATTGCCAATAATCTGTCATTGAAGGCTACCTAATGATAGGTTTTTGTTGGGTCAAGCTATATATACATTTTATGTAACCCTCGCTAGACACTGACCTACATCTGAAATGTATCGTGCTGACAAATGATGCCAAGTGGTTGAGTTATACTGACATTTCACCTCCAGGTGTAAACAGAGTTATCTCCCCTTTAACATAATTAACTCATCCCCGCCCTGAAACTTCTTAATAAACTATTCCAACTTTTGAATTGGAACAGTTCAAATGTATTTTCAGGGGTGAATGAGTTAAAACATTAATATCATAAAAAAGTCGTACACAATCAGAAGTCTTGTCGACTACATACATCGTTTGTATTTTGTAAACATATATAGGAGACATTTTATACTTTAACAACTATGGGTTGTGTGGGTCTGGAGGGCTCCTGGTGTCACTGTTAAGTTGGTGAAGTGAAAGGCTGTGTCCCACTAAACTAGACATCTCTATAGAACATCCAATCACTGAACTGTCGAACATCATTTGTTTCATCACGTAAAAATCTAGGGCTTTACACAGTAAACAAAACAAGTCCTATGTATATACAGACAAGCCTACGGCTCTATGACAAGTCCTATATGTGTATTTGTGACTAGCCAGCTGGTTACTGTAATGCTGTGTAAAAGTATATCTTAAGCATAATGATGATAATATCAAAAACGATTGAACACTGGGAATTGGGTTCTTTTCCTGTAATGAATTGAACATTGTTTAGGTGTAAGCTAGACTCCTGTTTGTAACTGAGGAACGTGTTACATACCTATAATTGGGTATTTCCTTTTCTAATTAACACTTACTATGCTAGGAGTTATTTCTGGGATGAAATCATTTCTCTATTAACTTAAGAAAGTGCGTGTTTTTCTACCTGATAACTGTTTAATTTAATCATCAATATCCCTGTTGTGTGTCAGTTTGGGATGTCATCCAACAACCGCTCACAATAAAACTTTAGGTTGAAGGACTATTAAAATACACCCATAATGCACCATTTAAAATTTTTAAGCTAACTTGTGTTTTGAAGTGGCAGCATTTAGGTTGTAGTTGGATCAATAGCTCCCTAGAGCTAATGTTTTACTGCTGTACACTTACTCTACTATAAGTAAAGACTAATGTATTGTATGCCCCCAGACCCTCTAGCATCTCACCTTCAGCTAGACACAATCTAGGGCCTACATCTCCAAGGGTAAGACCAAGGAAACACGAAAAGGGCCAGTAACTGGCCCTAAAAACATTTCATTTTTTTCATATTCCTCTGTGTAATTTGTTAGTGTGTACTTTTATATACATCTGTTCGACCAAATGAACAATTAATGTAGAATTGTCTTTGCTGATAGAATTACACAACACTTTCCAGGGCTGAAGGAGTCTTTTGACCCAGGTTCACTTTTACCAGCAAGGATTTCAGTGCAGAGCTTGTTTTTACACAGAAGAACCAGGTATGAGGTTCAGTGCGCGGCTTGTTTTACTAGTCAGAAAAGAATGCCCATGCTTCTAACGTCTTGACAACAAAATCTTCTGAACCCGTCAAGATGTCATTATCATATGTCTCACAATGCTGAGTTCTTCCGTGGTAAATATCTCCATCAAACCAAAGGCCAAAGTTCCCTCTGTAATAAACACAGGTTAGATTTAGCATTGTAACACAAGCTGAAGTCAAAACAAACAAACAAAATCTTGTATTCATTTACTAGATTAGCTGCATCCCAAAGACAGCAATATGATCTTGTTGTTCCACTAACTATGCTTTCCCTAATGCTTTTGTCCTACTATCCAGTCCCCACTAATCTGGTTGTTTCAATACCCAGTCCCCACTAATCTGGTTGTTTCAATATCCAGTCCCCACTAATCTGGTTGTTTCAATATCCATTCCCCACTAATCTGGTCGTTTCAATACCCAGTCCCCACTAATCTGGTTGTTTCAATATCCAGTCACCACTAATCTGGTTGTTAAAATACCCAGTCCCCACTAATCTGGTTGTTTCAATACCCAGTCACCACTAATCTGGTTGTTTCAATATCCAGTCCCTACTAATCTGGTTGTTTAAATATCCAGTCCCCACTAACCTGGTTGTTTCAATATCCAGTCCCTACTAATCTGGTTGTTTCAATACCCAGTCACCACTAATCTGGTTGTTTCAATATACAGTCCCCACTAATCTGGTTGTTTCAATACCAAGTCACCACTAATCTGGTTGTTTCAATATCAAGTCACCACTAATCTGGTTGTTAAAATACCCAGTCCCCACTAATCTGGTTGTTTCAATATCCAGTCACCACTTTTCTGGTTGTTTCAATTTCCAGTCACCACTAATCTGATTGTTTCAATATCCAGTCATCACTCATCTGGTTGTTTCAATATCTAATCAACGCTAATCTGGTTGTTTCAATACCCAGTCACCACTAATCTGGTTGTTTCAATATCCAGTCCCCACTAATCTGGTTGTTTAAATATGCAGTCCCCACTATACTGGTTGTTTCAATATCCAGTCCCTACTAATTTGGTTGTTTCAATATCCAGTGACCACTAATCCGGTTGTTTCAATATCCAGTCCCCATTAATCTGGTTGTTTCAATTTCCAGTCACCACTAATCTGATTGTTTCAATATCCAGTCATCACTAATCTGGTTGTTTCAATATCCAGTCAACGCTAATCTGGTTGTTTCAATACCCAGTCCCCACACATCTGGTTGTTTCAATATCCAGTCACCACTAATCTGGTTGTTTAAATATGCAGTCCCCACTAACCTGGTTGTTTCAATATCCAGTCCCTACTAATCTGGTTGTTTCAATACCCAGTCCCCACACATCTGATTGTTTCAATATCCAGTCATCACTAATCTGGTTGTTTCAATATCCAGTTACCACTAATCTGGTTGTTTCAATTTCTAGCCACCACTAATCTGATTGCATCAATATCCAGTCACCACTAATCTGGTTGTTTCAATATCCAGTCCCCACTAATCTGGTTGTTTCAATATCCAGTCACCACTAATCTGGTTGTTTCAATATCCAGTCATCGCTAATCTGGTTGTTTCAATATCCAGTCAACGCTAATCTGGTTGTTTCAATACCCAGTCACCACACATCTGGTTGTTTCAATATCCAGTCCCCACTAATCTGGTTGTTTAAATATGCAGTCCCCACTAACCTGGTTGTTTCAATATCCAGTCCCTACTAATTTGGTTGTTTCAATATCCAGTGACCACTAATCCGGTTGTTTCAATATCCAGTCACCACTAATCCGGTTGTTTCAATATCCAGGCACCATTAATCTGGTTGTTTCAATATCCAGGCCCCATTAATCTGGTTGTTTCAATATCCAGTCACCACTAATCTGGTTGTTTAAATATCCAGTCACCACTAATCTAGTTGTTTCAATATCCAGTCCCCACTAATCTGGTTGTTTCAATATCCAGTCCACACTAATCTGGTTGTTTAAATATCCAGTCCCCACTAATCTGGTTGTTTCAATATCCAGTCCCCACTAATCTGGTTGTTTCAATATCCAGTCACCACTAATCTGGTTGTTTCAATATCCAGTCACCACTAATCTGGTTGTTTCAATATCCAGTCACCACTAATCTGGTTGTTTCAATATCCAGTCACCACTAATCTGGTTGTTTCAATATCCAGTCACCACTAATCTGGTTGTTTCAATATCCAGTCACCACTAATCTGGTTGTTTCAATATCCAGTCACCACTAATCTGGTTGTTTCAATATCCAGTCACCACTAATCTGGTTGTTTCAATATCCAGTCACCACTAATCTGGTTGTTTTAATATCCAGTCACCACTAATCTGGTTGTTTCAATATCCAGTCACCACTAATCTGGTCGAACCTAAATCCTGCTGCTACCTATCTGGTTTTCCTACTATTAAGCCACCTTTTATGATAACTGAGTTGTCCTATTTCCCAGCCACTACAATATGGGTGTTGTCCCACTATCTAACCACTAATCCAGATGTCCTACTATCCAGCCACCTATGTTCTCACTAAGATAAAACATTTCTCTAGAAATAGTTCAATTTTCAGGGTTTATAATACATACCTGTACCAAACTTTTGTGATGTCAAAATAGCTTAATGACTTCAAAGTGTTTGTGAATCTTTTGGATCAAGAAAACAAAGCCATAGATACAAAAAGCTGTTTGAGCAAGATACTGAACTCCTCTTGTTCCAGTCTACTCAGCTGTAAATGAGTACGTGGTTGGGTAGTGCTATAATTGTAGAATGCTAGGTGTGTGCGCCGAAACGGCAGCACCGGGGAGTTGAGAAAGGTATTGGCTGGTTGCGAAGGCCCTATATAACCACGGATAATAACTTGTGAACCGCTTTGAGAAGACCTACGAACTAGGTTGTGATAAAGCAGTATATGAGAATCTCAAATTATCATTATTATTATTATTTTCTATTTCTGATATACATTTACTCAACTCAGGGAATTTACCAAAATCAATCTTACAATCTTACAACAGGCCTAGGAAAGACAGTGCTGAAAAGTTTACAATACACCATGACAAGCAGAGCATTGATATAGAAAACTTACTGTCCTGCTCCAATGAAAAGACTTTCTGCATTGCCTTTCAGGAAGAAGTCATTATCCCCCGTCCAATGGAAGACCTGTAAAACAGTAGACAATTCCTATGATACTTTCTGTACAGAGAGAAATAAGTTGTTTAACAAAATTACATCACTAAAGCTGTTGATACTGCAACTGTAATATCTTATTATATACTTAATATACTGCAACTGTAATATCTTATTATATACTTGATACTGCAACTGTAATATCTTATTATATACTTAATACTGCAACTGTAATATCTTATTATATACTTAATACTGCAACTGTAATATCTTATTATATACTTAATACTGCAACTGTAATATCTTATTATATACTTAATACTGCAACTGTAATATCTTATTATATACTTAATACTGCAACTGTAATATCTTATTATATACTTAATACTGCAACTGTAATATCTTATTATATACTTAATACTGCAACTGTAATATCTTATTATATACTTAATACTGCAACTGTAATATCTTATTATATACTTAATACTGCAACTGTAATATCTTATTATATACTTAATACTGCAACTGTAATATCTTATTATATACTTACTACTGCAGGTGTAATATCTTATTATATACTTAATACTGCAACTGTAATATCTTATTATATACTTACTACTGCAACTGTAATATCTTATTATATACTTAATACTGCAACTGTAATATCTTATTATATACTTGATACTGCAACTGTAATATCTTATTATATACTTAATACTGCAACATCTTATTATATACTTAATACTGCAACTGTAATATCTTATTATATACTTACTACTGCAGGTGTAATATCTTATTATATACTTAATACTGCAACTGTAATATCTTATTATATACTTACTACTGCAACTGTAATATCTTATTATATACTTAATACTGCAACTGTAATATCTTATTATATACTTACTACTGCAACTGTAATATCTTATTATATACTTGATACTGCAACTGTAATATCTTATTATATACTTGATACTGCAACTGTAATATCTTATTATATACTTAATACTGCAACATCTTATTATATACTTACTACTGCAGGTGTAATATCTTTTTATATACTTACTACTGCAGGTGTAATATCTTATTATATATACTTAATAAGAGCTAGTCTACCATATGCAGGCATATGGGATTTGGAAGATTTACCCAAGGTTGTAGAATTTGGGTCGAAACCAAAGCTTTGCCAAGGTGTTGACACTAAATTCTGCACCCAAGGATAGAATATTCATATCCCGTATACTTACATAATGGTCGTCTTTTTCTCCTACTCTCAACAAACAAACAAAATGGTGAAATATTACAAAGACAATACAAATTCAATGCAGCAAAATTTCTAGATATTTCATGCAAAAACTAAGACCATATCTGGAAAGAGCATATCTCCAATTTAAATTGCTTGCAAGATTGCAAAACCTTCAGTAAGGTCAGGGCAAGGTTGGACTATGCCACTGATGCCCCTGAGGTGGTGTCACTCTGATAACAGTAAAGTATCTTTGTAGTGATTCAGTGATTAATGACATCTGGATGGGCTTTTGATTATCTGATTGCAAAAACATCATTATAGTAAATGTCAGTAAGTACCCTCATGTGGGGTATATGTATTACACAAAAGTGTTTTGTAGAGTATATCTGTATCTTACCATTGTAGAGGTGGGAGAGTACCAGGTGTATATTTGTATTGTAAAATGTATACTGTTACCTTTGTAGAGGTGTGACAGTACCAGGTGTATATTTGTATTGTATACTG